CTAAAGCAAGGGGGTTGAGGGGTGGAAGCAAGCTTGGACGTGTCATCACTCCTCCCCCCCCCTTCTCTTCCACGTGTAACTGTACATGTGTGTGTTAGGGAGGCACATGCGGTTAACCAGGGGTGTTATTTTCGACGAATTTTGCACCGAATTGCACTGAAACTGTCATATTGTGCTGATTTTTTGCTTTTTTTCTTGTTTTTCTTTTTGTGTGATATATATGTGCTTTAGGGTACGTCATGTGTGCAGTTTTTACATGTTTGGATCAATAATGAAAAAGTTGGCATTTTGTTGAATTCGTTGGACGCTTCATTTTGACTCGGACAGTGTCTTTGTGTTAGGGTTTCAGAGTGTTTTTTTGTTTTTTTTTTCGTTCTTTTTGGCCTGTTTCTTTTTTTGACTATGGTCTCATATCGTTTGTTTTTTAAAATTTTGATTGAATTTGCACTGCAATTGCCAACGAAAACGGCGAATATTTGGGCCCCCGTTAACCGTCTCTCCCGATTTCTCTCTCTCACACACACACGAACATGCATGCCTACAGAGAATGGTTTACTCAAAGACAAAGGAAAACGAAAAAGACTAAGCGGGAGAGGGTACACACCATCATGCATCGCCATTGTGGCCCCTCAATCTGTCTGAAGTTAAGCCAACGGGCAGCCCTAGACGGTCTAGCATGGTATCGACTACGAACCAATTTCGCATCTTGTCCGTCACTCAAGAGGCACGTTTTTCCGCCTCGCGCTCAACGCTCAAATCAAGACCACCTGTTTGTCGACACTTTCAGCAAACCATTTGGAAAGTCCAAGCACACCTTGTCCCTCATTCCTGTTTCTCACCAGGTTGTTGTCTAGCTTATTCTCGTGGCCAGCTACTGCAAGAGGGGGAGGGGAGAGAGAGAGAGAGAGATCTATGCGTGTCTGTGCAGCAGAGGGAAGAAAGAGAAAGAGAGACATGCACACACACACACACACACACACACACACAGAGAGAGAGAGAGAGAGAGAGAGAGATACAGAGAGAGAGAGAAAGAGAGAGATCTACGCGTCTGTGTAGCAGAGAGAAGAAAGAGAAAGCAAGACAGACAGACAGACACAGAGAGAGAGAGAGAGAGAGAGAGAGAGAGAGAAAGAGAAAGAGAGACATACAGAGAGAGAGAGAGAGAGAGAGAGAGAGAGAGAGAGAGAGAGAGAGAGAGAGAGAGAGA